ATACATATCTGTTACTTACGACCGCGTATTTTCCCATGAAATTGTGTTAATGGACGAGCACGAATCGAACTTTATTTATTGGCGAGTCAAATCAGAATTAGCTTATCACTCATCGGCAATAAGATCCGGACGGTGACAGTGCAGAAAAAAGCAATTTCTGTCATTGGAAAACCCTCATAACAACAAAGAGAGATATCGCCGAGTTTCGCAGAGATCGCAATCTGAAAACCGCAAACTCGAAGATGAATTAAACTGTATTCTTCGTTTAGCCCTCTGGGGCTACATTGAGTCATTCATTCATCCGTGTATCTGATAGTTCTCTTCGCAATAATCATTACTCTTAGATTTTTTCTCACAATGTGAAAACTCTCATTGTCATCGAAATTAATCATTCATTAAATTTATTTATGCATATTATTATAAATGAATACTAGAAATATATTTACGTTTAGAAGCAACTTTTAATGTCACTGTATCGAAATAATTTTTATTATTTATTTTGATAACAAATTAATTTGAATAAAATTTTTAATTAAAATTGTATATAGACTACGAGTAAAAGCTGGATGTGTCGAGTGCTAAATTGATATTTAATATTTAAAACATAGATAAGAATATAATTATATAATTAAAAATAAAAAAAAGTTCGCAACGCCAAATCAGTTAACAGTAAAATTTAAATTATACATTAGAAAGAGTTATAAAATTCCGAATCACTTTTCTCTTCGTTTTTGATATCTTCCATTTCATTATTATTCAATATTGCTTAATTATGGTAATATTGTCCAAAACATTTTTTTTTAACTATACTTATTACACCGAGGATGACCTAATAAAGGTTGAAACGTTTGTCTATTGTATATTCTAATCTATGTTTTAAATATATTGAATATTAATTTAGCACTCAACATATCCAGCTTTTACTCATAGCCTATATACAATTTTAATTTTTAATTATTGAGTAATAATATTTAATAAAATTTTAATTTATGCAAAAAAAAATGAGTACACGAATTATTTATCTCCCATTGTATTTATACAGCGCAGAATTTACAGCAATATTGCTGCAATAACGCTGCAACAGTTTCTGTGTTGTAGGGGCTGTATTAATAATTTTTTTTAATTCAATTCAAGAATATCCGTCTTCAATTTCTACGTGTAAATTATCTTACAAAGATAATTTCTTCTCATTAAGAATAAAGATATAAGATCAGTTTTCCTCCTATTCGTCCTATTCGTAAATCCGGATCAATTTGCATTTCCATTCAATATCCGTCGGAGCACCCAAATAATCCTATATCAAATTCCTCATCAAATCGATACAAGGAGCACCTGACTACGAAATAAGATTAATTCAGAGAATTCAATTTAGGAATATCCCCGCAGCTCGTTCTTTGATGGTGGAGGAATATCTCTAGGGGGAGACCTCGAAGACCATCCTAGAAGGGCGCTTCGCGAACAACGTCGTACGTTTCGAGAGAGTCAGCGGCCGTCTTTGCCGCGCTGGTATAAATGCGAAGGCGCGGACGAAAATCGTCTCAGTGTCGAGCGCGAAAAAAGCCGCGACGGTGCAGCCATTCAATACGCGGCCAATCTCCCAACCAGAATCACATGCACTCGTGCGACCGGCACGAGGAGGGACCCACGAAGAAGAGACTCCTGAGACAGATATTCCCGACGTTCAGAGACGACAAGACGTCGTCGTCGAGAAAATCCACGATCCAGAAACTTTTGTTGAACGCTCAGACGATCGGAATCTTCCGTCGCGGTACTTGGACTCCCGACGTTTTATTTCTTTCTTCCTTCGTCACTTCCTCTCACGTTATGAGAGATCTGGCTTGCAATTGTCGTCGGGCTCTTTTTGCAAATTTCCATTCCGTTTGCGTCCTTCCTAATTTATGATCCGTATCCGCATAAACGCTCGCGCTTTTCGCGAACAAGTAAATCCCGAAGGACGGACCTCTTGGGATGACTTGAGGAAAAATAGAGACGGAGCGGTTCTGTTTGTCATTGATGCCGATATGGAAGCAGAACGGCCCGAGGATTGTGCAAGATTTTAGAGAGGAATATCCTTGTCATTGATCCAGACGAGAGAGTAACTGATACAATTGCAAGGTACTTATATCTCATGATTTATCTTCTGATTATTGCTTTTCATCAAATTAGCCACTCTAATTGAATTAAATTGAATTAATCGAGCGTTTTGTCAGACAACACAAGCAAAATTTTCTATCTAATTAAACTTGCACACGCGTTAAATAATTACAATCCACTAATTAAACTTAATTGAAAAGAAAACAAAAAATTCACCTGCGTCACTTCGAGTACCACACTGACGTCAAACGTAAAATTTCTCACGATATCTTTTCATGACATTTTTTTCTACTTGTTTTCGCTGCTCGCGTAGTGAATTCTCTTTTCTGCTTTAATAATTACGAGGTGTTTGTGTCGATCGGGTTACATCTGTCATCAGCAGTCGCTGCATTTCGTTAACACTTGCGATCGCTGCGAAAACAATACAAGCTAATCCTAATCGCAATAACATAGAGATAAAGATGCATGTCATGTTCACACGAATGAAATTCTTCGGGCAATTTTTCATGTCATGACTTTTCGAGTCATTGTTTCGCTTTTTCGAAGCAGAAATAGTTTTATTTTATCCTCTAAATTTATTACTATTATTGTTGTTATATTATATTATTATTATTGTTTTGCTTATAGTTTAAAAAAAAAATCTCTTTTTTTCAAATTGTCAGAAAAATCCACAGAAAAATTGGTTTTTTTCCGATCGTTTAAAACTATAATTTACTTCGTTTCTCAATTATAATTGTAGGCTTGGGGGTTCAAGATAGCATTATGATAGCATTATGATAGCAAAATGTTTTTTATTTTGAAGTGTATTTTTCTTTGTTTTATTTTATACTGTACATTTATCCATATTTTTTTTTTATTTTGCACTTCAATAAGATTATTATTATTATTATTATTATAAATTACAAATTGCATCCGCACGCATTCATCGCAATCGCGAATGTTAATTCGATATCATTTTGCAAATTTTCTTGACAGACAAGATGTTGCCTAGTATTTTTTATTCTCCGATCATTTTTGTGTAGATATTTTATTGGTCGGCAACGTGATAGGCAGAGTGCATTCTGTTACGACGCGCGGACTGAAAATCATGATGCAGTATAATCTTACAATTAATTCGTAATTTTCCGAGTACTTCATCCTTTTCATTATGTGATTATATTTGAATATAAATTTATTAACAGCTTATAAAATTTCAATTAATAAACAAGAAACAAGAAATAAAGACCTCAAGACTGTCAAGTTGGATCTTTAGTGCTTAAATAATTCGGTGTGAATTTATACATAACCCTGTAAATATACTATACATACCCTGTAAACTGAATTTAATTTTTGTAAGTCGAATTTAATTTTTAGTCTTGAAACGCAATTCTAACAGAACTAGAATAGCACAATCACAAATTAAACAATTTAATAATATTGATAACATCAATATTGATTACAGGAATCTTAGATCTTAATAATCTGATGCTAATCATCTTAAAACATATAAATAATTTTATTGTGAAAAAAAATATTACTTTTGAATTAGTAAAAATAAAAATAAAATTTTGGAAAGTACTAGTCATATTTCTGATAAATTTATTTAAAATACACACACACACACACACACACACACACACACATATATATAATGTATTAGTCTAAGATCTAGCTTTGATCACAACCGGTGCTTCGTATTTAGTATCTGAAAAATAAAATACTCCGCGTGTGTATTTCTTGATGAAAATTATGTCAATGCAAGCGCGTAATAACTTGTTGAGCGATAACAAACAGGAAGGGCGAACACCAAGATCCTTAATCCACTCGTGATCTTAATAAGATCTTATGACGGCCGAGACGTGTCTTTCATAGCGTATAAAACGTATGAGAATCTGCACAGCTGACATTTGCAAACAGATTTATAACGGTGTTAATCGGCGTCGATCTTATCGTAGGCATCGAAGCGGCATGGTATGATGAATGGACGCGCGATGGAAACGATAAATCTTGAACTCTAATCCACGCGTGCCGCATTAATGGGTTAAATTGAGTTAAACGTGAGAAACCGATTGAGGATCTAGCGGCGATAACAGACCGGTCTCGTGAGTCACGACTTGTCACGAGACCCCGAGGTGACGTTGCTGTCAGTTCCTCAAGCATTTCGAGTGACGGACCGTCGCGAATGACCGCTTAATTTCACGATCATTATTCAATTTGTGCGCCGCATGAAATCACGCGCGATATAATAAACAGCAACACACATTCTACAATAAGCCATTAGTAATAAATCAGAAGTCAGAAGCTAGAAATTGACCAATCATAGTCGAATATGAGAAGAATAATTGACTATGATTGATCAATTTCTTCAATTTCAGCTTTTGATTTTCTGATTTATATCACTAATAGCTTAATGTAAAATGTGTATAACGTGTCAGACTGCTCCTCGCCCCGATAAAGTGAACTGCAAACATTCACGAAACGCGGCATTCCAAAAATGGATACAGATAACCCGCGAAACAACTTAATTAAAAAGTAACGTATATTTAAGAATTTAATTAAAATTTCCTTCGATCTTGAGATCTATTCCAATTAATTTCTACCGACGCAGAGACTTTACAAAATGGAATTACAAATTAAATTTAAAAAGTATCTTATCTCGTATCGATTATCTGCAAGTGTTAATGAAACGTCAATGCGGTATGAATGAATAATGCAAGAGCTAGTCGTGCAGATCGTAATGAACGGTGTCTGTTAGAAAATCAATTAATTCGAGAAATGCATGGCATCCGTTGAAATATTTCTTCAATTCTTTTTTCCTTTATCAACAACGGCAGTTCCCTTTGTAGTAATTACGCTTGTGTGTACAATGATTGATGGTCGAGGTGAGTTAACGCTTTTCATCGCGAATCAAAGTTACGCGAGATCGTAGCGATCGAGATCTCCGAGTCCGAGTGTTCGAGGAATTTTCTGCACGAGTGCGATCGCGTGTTATCATTGTTATATCATTATTCACAACGAGGAACAGATCAGAAGCGGCTCGTCAAACGGCACATCGAACTTTTTTCTTTGAAATCGGAAAAGATTCGCGCAACGAGATCCGATTTTTAAGTAACATAAAGAGCTCTAATCGCACATCGTTTAGACTTTATCCTTAAATAAGTAATGACATCATTTATTTTTATTTAATAATAATAATAATAATAATCATCAATTTAATTTATATGTCCAAAAATTAACAACTGAATTTATATATACGTAAATAAATTTATATAAATCTAATATTTACTGCTGTTAATCCATCTGGGTCCTATTTTTCTACAGTCATCCAACTGCCCTTCGAGGTGTACGATGGTCACTCGAATGAAGCTTTGGTGGAAGATCCTTCATTCCGGCGACAAGAATGGTGTAAGTCACTTAATCCAGCGTTACGATTAGCGGCGCCGCAATTAAGCACGTGCGATACCGCATTCTTTGGAGTGCACGACGTATTACGTAATTTCGATATTTCACGACGTGAAGCGAATTAAGTGTCGTATTTGCACGTGAAAATATTCCTTGTTGCGATATTTATTTAATCGAGCAGATACAATTTTTGGCCGAGACTCCTTTTCACGGAGAATGTTACGCTAAAGGCACGAAATAATTGCTCATGAAACCAGACAGAACGAAGAAATGTTCGAAAATCTTTTATTGTGCAATAATTAACATCGAGGGAATAAAGTAAGAAATTATGATAATAGTAAGTAAGCAAAAATAAAAAGATACAGGTAGATCAGCTTGATACATTGCAATTGGTGCGAATAACAATTACGTACAGAAGAAGACTCGTTAAGCGAGGCCGTCCGAAGGGAAGATGATCGTTTATAAATAAATAAATAAATGGATAAACCGACAGCGTGGAGGCGGCTCGATTGGCCTTCTGGATTCTCGTCCTTCGACGCCGGGGAATTTTTTGAAGCTATCATAATGTCACTCTTTCATCGTAACAATCCTTTCGATTTTCCGTCTGACGTTGATCAACAATAGACGTTAGACCGACAATAGACTCAATATAGTCTTTAATAGCCGCTAAAAAAAAAAATTTGAATATTTCTTTATTTTTTATTTTACTTATTTGCTACTCTTCTATTTCACTCTTTTTTCAAGCTATTATGATTGCATTAAAATATGCTCTATTTGTATATCCGACGAGAATCTATCTTTTAGAGTGGCGCATTATTTACCTAAGTCTCGTGCCTCTATTGTTACACTCGAGAGCGAATTTCCATGTAAAATCGGACACCGATGTGGGTTTCATAGCCCCGAGCGCATGCAATCCTTGATGCGACCTTCGACCACTTTCTCGCGATCCGAATAATAATAACTAACTGCGGAGACACATTGTTACGAATAATTTACTCAACGTTTATGATAGCGATCTTGTGCTTCCGAACAATGCATAATGTACCGACCTTTTTTTAACTATAAGTGAAGTGATAACGCTCGTGTTGAGTCATCGCGTTGTTATTCGGTACTATCGTTATTTCAGTTGAACATGCAGAAAATACTGGATCGTCTATCATACGTGTCGAGATAAAAAAAGGAATTCATTGACTTCCTCGAATGGCTTTTTAAATACCGGATTTCTCTAAATTAAAAGAGGAAAGATAAAGGAAATCGCCTGTTACAAAATAGGCTTCTAATGAGATATAATTTCTACTTCCGAATTTCTGCTAAAATAAGCGTGAGTGATTGGTTTCATCAACTTATTGTCACTAAGGTGAAATTTATTTAGTAAAAATTTTATTATTAGATTATGCGTATAGTCGTTGCGAAAAAAAGATTTGTAAAATTGAATCTTGTCAAGTTTTATTGAGGTGAGTCTTTAAATCTTGTTTATAGTATTATATAATAAATAAATATTTGATAATAAATTCCATATACAGTGATAGAATAAAGTTGTATTAATAGGAAAATACTAGATATAATGATTTATTTAATTATAAAGATTAAGTTTGATGATCGTGAAATCGGGGCTCGTAATATATATGAGGTACTCAAGACACTTAATTTCTGAAAATTAAGACGTATAAATTTTGTTTATTTTCTGTTTCATTTTATAGCATATAAGTTTGATATGCTAATTGCAATTGATTCCTAGAATTATTTGATTCTTAGAATTATTTTTTTGAAATAACAAAGTCATCGATAAATTCATATAATTACTATTTATAATAAAAGTTGAAGTTTGCTATGCTCCTACTTTTGTGTATAGTAAAAGCTTTTATGTATAATAGAAAGCTTTTCAAGGGAAACCTCTTCCCTTGGTTTCCTATTATAAGATACCATCTTATATAAGGAAATCCTCGTATCTCATATTAGAAACCCTTTTTCTTTAATTATCAAAATCGACAACTTGGCTGCAGTTTCATAATTGATCAATTGAGAATTAATAAAAATATCTATGCGCACGTGCGATAAATAATTTCATGAAATAAAACCTGGCATTTGCAGATCTTCGCGGGTTTGGCCGCGCACTCCGGCCAAATCTCCGTGGGACTCTCCCAGGGATACAGCGCGATCCTGATACCGAAACTCCTCGAGACAAACTTCGTGGACCAGTCACAGGCTTCGTGGATCGCTTCCCTCGGTGTAATCTCAAATCCTCTCGGTGCCTTCGTCGCCGGAATCTGCGCTGAATGTTTCGGCCGCAAGTCCGCGATCGCCCTGGCCACGGTACCGCATACCGTTGGCTGGCTGCTGATTGCGTTATCAAGAAATGTATCAATGCTGTACGTCGGCAGGTTCATCAGCGGTATCGGCACTGGCATGGCCAACGGGTATTATCTCTACGTCAGCGAGGCAAGTACATTTGCGACGCAAATGATAGATTTTTATCACGATTATGTAGCTGTCGCGACATTTTCATTCAATATTTGAACAAATTAATGTGTGTTGTAAATCAATATTTGATGTGTATCAATATTTGAACAAATGTATACGTGTATACGATTATTTTTAATTAGTATGATTAATGAATGATTATATATAATATTATATAATACTTCTTTTTTTATTTATTTCGTGTGCGGATTAAATTCTGAAGACGAAAATATCTGATTTTCTTCTAGGCGGCAGCGCCAAATCAAAGAGCGTGGCTCGCGAGCTGTGGACCAGTTCTAGTCTCCCTAGGTGTCTTGATTGTGTACACCTTAGGTACCATCACGACGTGGCAAAAAGCGGCCGTTGTCAGCATCGGACCCGCGATTCTGTCACTTGCGTTGATATGGTATAATCGATTTGCAATTGTCAAATAGAAATAATTGAATGTTTGGTGCACGAATTACTGTGCAGAAATTGCTACTCGTACTTGCCCTTATTTCATTATTGTGAAATAAAAAGTCGCGAAAGTCCGTTTATTCCATTCACGCGTATCATAAAATTTCAAATGTCCCCATAAAAATTCAATGACAATTTTCCAAACATTAAACGAATTTCCGTTTATTGTAGGATAATACCGGAAACTCCCGCCTGGTTGGCTTCAAGGGGTCGAACGAATGAGGCCAAGGAGGCTCTTCTGTGGCTGCGAGGATCCGGATTGGACGTCGACAGAGAGTATCAAGAACTGTGCGAGACGAACGCGAAGCGGAAGGAAAAAAAGGAGAGCCTACTGCGGGCGTTACACAAGCCCAACGTGTGGAAACCGTTCGTGATACTCTTCATCTTTTTCGCGCTCCAACAACTGTCCGGCATCTACGTGATCCTGTTTTATGCTGTGAACGTGCTCAAGGATATCGGCATAGATATGAATGAATACGCGGCTAGCGTCGGCATGGGTGTCATCAGGCTGTTCGCGTCAATCCTCGGCGCTGGACTGGCCAACAGCTTCGGCAGGAAGATCCTGGCCTTCTTCAGCGGTTTTGGAATGGCTATCGCCGCCGTGGGAGTCGCCCTTTGTTTCAGGTTTACATTTCAAACTCCTTCGAGTTTTACAAGTTCTCGTATAACGAGAAACGATGAATAAAAAGAATTTAAAAAGAATAAAAAGGATTACGAGCAAAGCAAGATCTTTAATTAATGCTTAAATATAAATAACAAATTAATAATTGCAATCTATTACAACTGTTTGGTTCCCCTAATTGGGTCATCTTCAATGTAAATACAGACAATTGTGTGTAATATTATAATATACTTTTAATTTAAATATCTTCGAAGTCCTTCGTTTTTTCTTATTCGTTCCTGATCGAAGCGATTCTTAGAAATAATACAATTTCCTTTGTCAGGTTCGAACTTCCATCGTGGATGCCACTACTTTGCATCGGGATCCACGTGGGCACGTCCATGATCGGCTTCCTCACGTTACCGTGGGTCATGACCTCGGAATTGTACCCGTTGAGATTTAGAGGCAGTCTTGGAGGTTTCACAACCAGCATCGTGCAGATATTAACGTTCGCAACAATCAAGACATATCCGGATTTGAAGACTATTGTCGGTCTGGAGTTCACTATGTGGATATTCGGTGTGGCCGGCGTGCTGGGCGCGATCTTCGCTCTAACGATACTGCCGGAAACGCGGGGACGCAGCCTTGACGATATCGAGATGAAGTTTTCCAGCAGGTCGAATGACGACAGTTCGATATATGCCGGCAAGATCTTCTCCAACGTCTGGTCCCAACCGAAGGACATCACCCTTCAGCGATTCACGTCGATCTCGGAAGAAAAGCAATCAAATATCGCGGCGAACACGTATGTCTACGACAACTTCTGCCTGGAACTCTCTCCGGAGAAACTGAAGAAAGATATCGAAGTTTCCGAGAAGAAATTGTCTCGCGAATCAACGAATCGTAATCGGCATCGCGCTTGATCACGTGCGCGTTTGATACGAGAAATTCCGAAGAATTTTTATTAAAAACTAATTCCTACATGCAATTTTATATATTGTGTCTAGAGCGTTATTTAAATTATGTCTAGGATAATTATTTATTTATTTTATACAATTGATAAGCTGAAAGTTGATCAGTCATTAGTATAAATGACATTTTATCTGTTGTTGCCAATGTTCCTTCAGTATTACGAACATTCCTGGAAACTTTCGAAGATTAAAATTACTTATCTGGTATATTTTTATAATAATTTTGTATATAATTGTACACAATTGTATATAATTATATATGTATATAGATATATGTATGTATATACTTTACATTTTATATAAATGATTGTAATTTTTCAAACATTTTCACTCTATTTGTATAATTTTGTCAGCACTGTTTTTTTTTAATAATGCAAATTTTTTTGTACAGATTAAAAATGTATATACTTTTGCCAAATAATAAATATTAATTAAATAAATTTTAATATATAGTTTAATATTAACCACGTATATATACGAGGGCTGATAAATCCGTGGATTCAATAAATCCGTGCAAAAATAAAGATTTAATTATTTTAAAAAAATCTTTTTAATTTTTCAACATAATCTCCTTTTAAGCTTATACATTTAATCCAGCGATGGTCAAATATTTTTATCCCTTCCATATAGTATGATTTATCCAAGTCTTCAAAACAAGTATTGTTTCGGCAATGATTTCATCAGTTGAAAATTTCTTTCCCACAAGCCATTTCTTCATATTAGAAAACAAATAATAGTCCGATTTTTATAATTGTTTTAAAGCGCTCTCATCATTTTGTTTTATCCAAATTGTCTTTATTTACAAATGACACATAATAAAAATTAACGTATTATTTCTCACTTTTGATAATCACAATTCAATATAGCCGTGGTAACTCAGGAGTCTTAAGTAAAATTACAGAATTTTTAACGAAATTTTATTGATATGAATTAAAGATTCGATATTCTGAAAATAAAGCGAGTATACATAGTACTGAGAATGGCTCTGTGCAAGTAATAATTTTCTTTCCACGCTTCAAATTTCTAGATTGATTGAAGACTTTGAAGAATTGTGAGTAAAAAGTGTGTGAGAAGTAAATCCATTTCAGGGACAAAGTCTTTCAATACAATACTGAGCAACAATGTGTGAAAATAAAACGTAATGACGTATATTGATTACAAATGTTCGTGATACAGATACATATATTGGTAGAACCCCTTAAAATGTAATGGCATTACGAGGGCGCTACAAGCTAGTGATTTTCTTAAACTTTCTTTTTACTAAAATTCGACTTATTTTTCAACATCTCCTTTTAATAAGTCAATGACTTATTAAACTGCCCACGTATATTCTGTGAAATTGTATGAAAGAAAGGGGTATAGAAAAAATAATTTTCTCGATTATTATATGTACATATTATAGTGATGTGGAGTTTCATGCGTCTGATAATAACGCACGACGTGTTCAATTTTTCTTCTCGTATTTCTGTTTTTATAAAACAGTCACAAGTACAAAATCATGTACAAATCGGAGATCGTGATTTCTCAGTATCAACAATTTCATTAACCACGTAATTATCACGCGCAAGCAATAATTCAAATTTATATATACAGTAAAACTACGACGTCTTCTTATCGATGAATTACATGATTTTCTATATAATATCGATCACATTTAGCATTTAAGATCGTCAGTATGTATATACTGTCGCTTAAAAGTCATATTTACAATCTATTAAATGCAAAAATTGTAGGGAATTTTAAGTACAAAAATAATGAGACAATTACCGCGATGAATATTCTCCTTGAGATACTGATTGATGTTACGCAGGATACTTATATTTTCTTAAAAATTATGGCGTTTGACGATTACAAATTAAGTGATTTTGTTATATGTATTTATTTAATATGGATTTTTTAAATATGGATTATACATTTCATACTAAAAAATGAAATAAAAATCTTAAATAAATCTTGCAATACAAAGCTGATTGATGAACTAAAGAGAGCTCAAAACTGAGAGAAAAAGAGAGGTCAAAACATATAAGCGCTTTATTATAATAAAGAGTTTTGTGTTATATCTGTATATTATTTACGCAACGATTCCTGTCAATCATTTCCAAATTTCTTTTTAATATCCAAATGCCATGATTTTCAAGAAAATGTAGTCACGATAGTGTGTATGTAATGTAGTACGCAGATTACTGCAACAATCAAAATGTTATAAAATGGGGAGCATAAAAAGCATGTGAAATATTTAAAAATAAAATGTTCCGACATAATCCGATTCAATTCCTCGATCGGCCGTTACATATTTTACATTTACAACTATACTTTCTCAATCGACATACAATTACAGTCAGGCAGTTTATGCTCTTTACTACAAATCTTTAAGAAAATAGCTAAATATTCGATTCTCTTCCTCATCGCACCGCTCTGTTGTACAGAGTAGTCGGGAGGGGGTTAATTCGGTTCCCTTCGATATATTTACAACGTTAAGATATTGATAATTAAACATTCATACTTTCGGCATTTTTCCTTTACACATCAATCTTACGCTTTTTCGTATGATAAACCAAATCGCCAAATTTCCGCGAACGTTCGACCTGAATTTCGATTCCCCGAGTTAAAAACGTGGGAAAAAAGTATATAAAATAATCCGAAGGAAAATCTTTTCATGTAAACATAGATGAAATATATACAAATTGCCCGTCATTTTCATAAAATAATAGTTGGAAGAAGTCGTAACAAAGTAAGTGTACAGGAATGTGTACTTAGATGTTAAATAATTGTAGGTTTATTTTAAATTTATAAGATTTAAAATTTTTATAATAAGAGGTTATTAATTTTATAAATAATATTAAACTTGTGAAATTGAATTTAATGATAATTAAAGATATATTAAAAATAGAATAAGTTTTATTATTAAAATAAAATAATTAACATAAATTATATAGAGAGTAATGTAAGTGAATTTAGTTAAATGTGAAAAAGTAATTTTAGTTAAGTGTACCTTTTGTATCAGGGTTTATTAAAATAGAGTAGCGTTAACGCAGAGAGTATGCATTAAAATTTTAAGTTAAGACTACTATTGAAAATGGAAGACGTCCGGCTAACTAATGCAAAACGATCTAGTTCAGTAAATGCAATCAATTGAGCATTGTCTACATTATATTTTTTATCAATATTTGCACTGATATCTAGTTCCCTATCATAATAAACGAATTGCGCCTTTCTTTATTGCTACATTTACTCAACTACAAAACTGATGATACGCCACTGTTTCATTGTTAGATCTATAATTGCAATTGAGACTTATTTAACGCAACTATTATTATTTGTATTCGCAATTTTTATTGTTATTATTCATTGTGGTCCATATTTGAGACTCGCGATTGTGAGAGAATTTTATTATTACTCGTTACATTAACCAACGCGA